AGCAGGCGCCGCTGTGCCCGCTCACGGCTCTGACCCTGCTGCTGCTGCCCGCGTGCGGAGCGTCCTCGGCGGGTCACGGCTCCGGCGCTGCGGTGCGCACTTCTCCGCGTGGGACCCAGCACCGGGCCCACGTCCGTGTCAAAGTCGCATGAGCAGTGCCCTAAAGTTCTTTTGAGGCTGTTGTGGAGTCTGGTGGCTGGTGGTCCTTAACACTAGGAAGTGGTTACATTAGAAGCAGTTTGTGCTGCTGTGATCCTTGCCCCTAAGGTGACATTTTCAGCACTGCGTTCACAGCCTATCAGGAGCTTCTCTATGGGCCTCACTCTTGTCTCTGTCATCTGACAAATCTGCAGCCTGTGTCCCAGGAGCGTTCTGCCCGGGAGCCCCTTGAAAATGAACAGTGGCCCACGGTTGCTCTGGGGTATGTCAGGATCACCGGGACTGAGCCCACAGAAACCAGGTGGATGCCAGCGTCTGTTTCCTTAATGCAGGCAGATACATCCTCAGTCCCTCATCACTACTGCCTGCTGTCACACATGGGTCTTTGCACACAGCTCCTGTGGCCTCAGCCTTTGATTCATTTTGGAATGGAGTGGAACAGATTGGCAGCAGAGTAGGGGAGAGTGGGGCCTCCTTTTTTATATATATACTTATTTTCATATTTTTTTTCCATTAAAGGTTATTACAAGATATTGAACATAGTTCCCTGTGCTCTACAGAAAAAACTTTTTCTTTATTCTATCATTATATATAGTGGCTAACATTTATAAATCTCAAATTTACCCCTTCCCATCCCATTGTTTATTAAGTCTGCCAATTTGTTTCTGTTTTGTAGATGAGTTCATAGTGTAGTTTTTTTTTTTTTGATTCCACATATGAGTGATATTAGATGGTGTTTTTCTTTCTCTTTCTGGCTTACTTCACTTAGAATGACGATCTCTGGATCCACCCATGTTGCTGCAAATGGCATTATTTGATTCTTTTTTATGGCTGAGTAGTATTCCATTGTATAAATATACCACATCTTCTTTATCCAGTCATCTGTCATTGGACATTTAGGTTGTTTCCATGTCTTGGCTATTGTAAATAGTGTTGCTCTGAACATTGAGGTGCATGTGTCTTTTTGAATTTTATTTTTCTCTGGATATATGCCCAGAAGTGGGATTGCTGGATCATAGGGTAAGTCTGTTTCTAGTTTTTTAAGGAACGTCCATACTGTCCTCCATAGTGACTGCACCAGTCTATACTCCCACCAACAGTTGTAGGAGAGTTACTTTTTCTCCACACCCTCTCCAGCATTTATTGTTGTAGACTTTTGAATGATGGCCATTCTGGCTGGTGTAAGGTGGTATCTCATTTACCTTTTGATCTGTGTTTCTCTGATAATTAGTGATGCTGAGCATTTCTTCGTGTGCCTATTGGCCATTTGTATGTCTTCATTGGAGAATTGCTTGTTTATGTCTTCTGCCCATTTTTGGATTGGGTTGCTTTTTTTTTGATATTAAGGTGTATGAGCTGCTTGTATATTTTAGAAATTAGTCCCTTGTTGGTCGCATCATTTTCGAATATTTTCTCCCATTCTGTCGGTTGTCTTTTCGTTTTGTTAGTGGTTTCCTTTGCTGTGCAAAAGCTTTTAAGCTTAATTAGATGCCATTTGTTTGTTTTTGCTTTTATTTCCATTACTCTAGGAGGTGGTTCAAAAAATATGTTGCTGTGATTTATGTCCAAGAGTGTTCTGCCTTTGTTTTCCTCTAGGAGTTTTATAATAGCTGGTTTTACATTTAAGTCTTTAATCCATTTTGAGTTTATTTTTGTATATGGTGATAGAGAATGTTCTAATTTCAGTCTTTGCATGTAGCTATCCAGTTTTCCCAGCACCACTTATTGAAGAGAATGTCTTTTCTTCATTGTGTAGTCTTGCCTCCTTTATGGTAGATTAATTGACCAAAACTGCGTGAGTTTATTTCTGGACTTTCTATTCTGTTCCATCCTGTTTTTGTGGCAGTACCATACTATTTTGATTACTGTAGCTTTGTAGTATAATCTGAAGTCAGGGAGCATGATGCCCTCAGCTCCATTCTTCTTTTTTAAGATTGTTTTGGCTATTCGAGGTCTTTTGTGTTTCCATACGAATTTTAACATTTTTTTGTTCCAGCTCTGTAAAGAGTGTCATTGGTAATTTGATAGAATTGCATTGAATCTGTAAATTGCCTTGGGCAGTATGGCCATTTTAACAATATTGATTCTTCCAATCCAAGAACACAGTATATCTTTCCATTTGTTTATGTCTTCTTCAGTTTCTTTCATGAGTGTCTTAGAGTTTTCGGAGTACAGAGTCTTTTGCCTCCTTGGGTAGATTTATTCCTAGGTATTTTATTTTTTTGATGCGATGGGAAATGGTATTGTTTCCTTAATTTCTTTTTCTGCTATTTTACTGTTAGTGTATAGAAATGCAACTGATTTCTGTATATTAATTTTGTATCCTGCAGCTTTACCAAATTCATTGATGAGCTCTAGTAGTTTTCTGGTAGTGTCTAAGGATTTTCTATGTATAGTATCATGTCATCTGCAGACAATTACTTCTTTGTTTCCAATCTGGATTCCTTTTTCTTCTTTTTCTTCTCTGATTGCTGTTGCTAGGACTTCCAAAACTATGTTGAACAAAAGTGGTGAGGGTGGGCATCCTTGTCTTGTTCCTGATCTTAGAGGAAATGCTTTCAGCTTTACCCCGTTAGGTATGATGTTAGCTGTGGGTTTGTCATATGTGGCCTTTGTTATGTTGAGGTATGCTCCATCTCTGTCCACTTTCTGGAGAGTTTTGATCATAAATGGATGTTGAATTTTATCAGAAGCTTTTTCTGCATCTGTTGAGGTGATCATACGGTTTTTAAATCTTCAGTTTGTTAATGTGGTGCATCACACTGGTTTCCAAATACTGAAGAATCCATGCATCCCTGGGGTAAGTCCCACTTGATTATGGTGTGTGATCCTTTTAATGCGGTGTTGGAGTCGATCTGCTAGTATTTTGTTGAGGATTTTTGCATCTATATGGATAAGTGTTATTGCCCTGTAATTTTCTTTTTTTGTGATGTATTTGTCTGGTTTTGATGTCAGGGTGATGGTGTCCTCATAGAATGAGTTTGGAAGTTCCTCTGCAAGTTTTTGGAATACTTTCAGAAGGATAAGTTAACTTCTCTAAATGTTTGGTAGAATTCACCTATGGAACCATCTGATCCTGGACTTTTGTTGGGAGATTTTTTAATTACTGATTTGATTTCAGTACTGGTAATAGGTCTATTCATATTGTCTAGTTCTTCCTGGTTTAGTCTTGACAAACTGTACCTTTCTAAGAAATTGTCCGTTTCTTCTACATAGTCCTTTTTGTTGCTGTACAGTTGCTTATAGTAGCCTGTTAAGATCCCTTGTATTTCTGTGGTGTCGGTTGTAACTTATCCTTTTTCTGATTTTATTAATTTGGGCTGTTGGGCCTCTTTTTAAGGAAACTGTGAGCCTTTGTCTTTTTTTTCACTGCTTCCTGATTGTTGCAGACTCTTTCCTACTTCCTGGGACCTCTAAAATCGCTCTTGTTTCTTGATAGCATTTTTTTGTCCTCCCTGCCCTTGTGAAGCAGTGAATATACTGGAGCTATAAAGCTTTGGTTTGGTTAGCTGGGGAGATGTGTGTGTTGTGAATCAGATGATTTTACTATTTAAGTTTCTGAATTGTTACATGTAATAAAATACCTCACGGTAATTCTGTTAATTTACACACAGTTAATAGTGTGTACATCTCATTACATATTTTACAGGATAAATGAGGTATTTCAGGGAGCTCTGCAGAGTCAGATTCCCTCGTTAGCACATGCCCTGTGGGGGTATTTGTGACTGGCTTCCCAGTGCCTGTGTTCTAGATGCTTGTGTTTCATGCGCTGCTGTTGGGTTCCCTGGGCTTCTGAAAAGCTACCTTTAAATACTTCTGCTCAGGAATGTAAAGTGGAAGGAGAGTGTGTTGGTTTTGTTTTGTGTTTGAAGATCATGTACTGGAGAAGGAGGCTGTGTACAGCCCCATGCCGGCCTTGGGACTAGGCTGCTACAGGCTGGGGGATTCACTAGCTGGGGTTTAGTAGTTGGCGTTCACCTCTGGAGGAGGGGCCCTCACTGCTGAACTTCCACCGTGTGACCTGTCTGCTTACCTTTCCAAGGGGAGACCTGAGATCAGGGTGAAACGGGCTTCATTTGACCTTTCACTGAAGGTTTCTGACGGCCATGACTCTTGTCGCCAGCATGTTATTTCAGCCTCAGGATGCTTGTAAGCGCTTATAAATTAGTAGGACTCTCTGTGCTTCCCGCATGGAGATGTTGGAATTCCTTGCCGGTGCAGCACTGGGTCTGAGCTGCACACAGTCCTGGTGGAGGCTGCCTCTTCCCTCTGCCGTTGACGTCCCCGAGCTTGTGTGTGTGTGCGCGCACGCGCGCACATGCATTTGCTTGCTTCTCTTTTTCCTTTTTAAATTCTTCTGTCACCTTTCCCAGCTGCTTCTCGGTTTTTGAACAGTTCCCCCCACTTGGAGTTTCAGTCCTTGGCACCAGTGAGAATGTTTTTCCTTGTTGGTTGTAAATAGAAGTGTCATCTTCTGGGCGTAGGCTCTAGTGCTCGCAGCCCCTTGCTATGACTCACTAGCAGGTGGGAATTTTCTACCTTGTCCCCTATTTTCAGTCCCTGTTTTAAAACTTTGAAACTTCTGGGCTCTGCCCTCTTGATTAATTGTGTTAGAGGTGCAGACACTAGAGGGAAAAGCTGCAGTGACGTGGGAGGTCATGAGTGACACGGGTTTACAGGCTGGCG